TTTTTTTTTCGCATATTTTAGTATTTTTAGTGCATATTTAAGCGCTTATATGAATATTTTTAAGAGCATATTATTGCGCTTATAATAACCTTTTTTAGAGCTATAAGTTATGAGCCCTGGTTATAACCAATAAAATAGATACTTACAAAGTTCATATAGAATTATTATTAATTTGTTAAGTACCTACTAAGATTGTGTAAAATACAATGTACATACTTGATCTGCATTTATTTCCATAAAACTATTTAAACTCGAGTTTGGATCATCAACACATTATTCATTTAAAATATTGACAGTAACATTTGGAAAAATCTATGCACAGCATTTATACGATGTAAATATGTATAATAATCATAATAATGTAATATTAATTGTATAGGTATATTAAATACAATTATTGTAAATATTTATCGTTCGTAAATATATATCATATTACATATATTTATTTATTAAGAATAATAAATTAACAATAAAATACAATTTCGATTATCAAAATGTTAAGATGAACTTTACTTTTGTTTTTTAACGGTAAAATAACGTTTACAATTCTTTAATATTATATAATCAATTTTATCAACGATTTTAAAAATTATCATACATCCTTCAAAACGAATTCATCTATCAAAACGATCCTTCACTTTTAATAACGATAAAATAAAATTCATCAAACTCCAATTAAATATTTAAATCATTTAATTATTATTATTATTAAATTGTATAATAGTACACATACTTTTAAGTCCGCACCAGCGGTATCGGTATATTATAATATATAATATAAAATTAAATAAATAATTATGGGTCTTTTTCTTTTTAATTATTGTTATTTATTATGTATATCATATTCATGTTTATAAAAGTTTGAGGATCCCTGTTCTATATGTTGACTCATATTGAGCGCTTGGCCTGTATAGGCCAGTGCATTTTTTAACTAGTTAACTAGGCGACACAAATGTCGCCCAGTGATTATACTCTGTCGACAATATTTTGAAAGATTAGGCGAAATAATGCAAAACAAACGTGTAATACTATAATCGTACTATGGTTTTACATTGACTATGCTGAGAAAAATATTTTTTGCCGTCCAGTGAAAATCCCTTATAAAATGCACTGGTTTAGGCCTTTCCTGGTCTAAAATCAGCTTGTTCCGGTATCAGTTGTTTGTCTATTTGAGTTTTAACACGGTTCATGACCATTCTCTCAAATAATTTGTAGGTGCAACATAACAAGGAAATGGGTCGACAAATTTTTGGATCACTTAGGTATTTTCCTGGATTGGGAAAGGGTATTATTTTAGACTTTCTTCAGCTTTTGGAGATAATTTTCCTATTGAGACATATATTTAATAGTTGAAATAGTCATCGTTTTGCTTCTGACCCAAAGTGTTCAATTTGTTCTATTACAATTTCGTCATACCCAACCACTTTTCCATTGTTCATTCCTTTCAGGGTGATGGTTAATTAATTTATTTGAAAGTTATAGGAGAAGATATGGCATTCATTGTTTTTGTCTCTTATGATTTTTTCTCTCTTGATTTTCCTTTTGGATTTACCATTTTTGAGTTATTCTGAGGCTATCTGATTAGCAGTGACATTTTTACAAGTCTATGTACAGTTGGATTTCTACTAAGCTTTTTTATTAGAGGCGCTAGGTGTTCTTGCTGTTTTTGTTCATAACAGTATTTTCAATGAGATCGTGCCACTTTCAGTTTTTGTCATTACCAAGCTGTTTAATAAGATTTTCTCTTGCCGCAATAGTTTTGTCGCTAAATGGATCGTTTTTAAACGAATCTTGATATATTTTTATCAACTCTCCAGTTTCTTTACTTAGGCTTGGTATGTACTTTTCTCTACAACCACGTGATATGTGTTGTCCTGATAATTTCCTTACTTTATTCATAAATATTTCGTAGTTTTCTGGTGTTAGTTATAAGTTCTAAATTTTTTTATCAATAGCCTCTCTATATTTTTCCGAATTACAGTAAATACGAAACAAATTAATTGCAATAGGACTGTGATACCTATAGATTTTAGCGGTTGTTTTGATATACCTTTTTTACGTTTTCAAATTTCAATGTATGAAATATATTTATAACGATTTCGAGAGCCTGTAAATTAAATAAACACGAAAAAAAATATAACAGATATGAAGCTTATTAAAAATGCATAAAAGAATTACATTTAAGTTCTTTAATTAACAATTATTAAATAACTTTTTTTATTCTAAACCTTAAATAGTATTAAAACTGTGGTGTATTATGTAATTTTTTATTGATGAAAATCATCAAAATAGTATAGGATCGGGAATGGTTCAAAATATATATAATTTTGTAATTACTTGTACACATAAGATAAATACATTTTTTTATAAATATTTTAATCATTCAACTTGTTCACTAATTAATTTTCTACTTTGCAAATTTTTCATGTAATCCACATAAAACGTTATAACTTATAACTTTATGACTTTATGCTTATGACTGACGGAAATATTATACTTTGTAAATCGTGTGAAGTCAAAATAAATTCCGATAAAAAATATAACCTTCAACAACATATTCACAAATTTCGACAAGTGGTAGAAAAAAACACAAAGAAGCATTGAAAAAACTTGAAGCTGCAAAACATAATGCAGTTCAGCCATTCATTCAACAATTTTGTAAGTCTGATTTTAATGCTGACCTATGTTCTATACTTGTAGCGGCGAATATCCCCCTAAAAAAATTAAATAACGAACATTTTTGATCATTTCTTTCAAAATATTGCAATAAAACTATTCCAAATGAATCAACTTTACGAAAAGGATACTTCGATTCATGCTACTTTAATACGATAGCTAAAATACGCGATGCTGTGAACGGTCAAAAAATATGGGTTTGCATAGATGAAACAATTGAAAGTGTACGACGTAATGTATCTAATGTCATTATTGGTATTTTGAAACCACAAGATGTTGGTAAAACCTATCTTATTCACACAGAATATTTATACAAAGTGAACCATAGTACTATTTTTCAATTATTTGACAAATCTATGCATATTTTATGGCCAAATAATGTTAATCACGAGGACATTTTATTATTTATTTTGGATGCTGCGCCGTATATGAAAAAATCTGGCCGCTATATTCAAACACTGTATCCAAAAGCTTTGCATGTGACATACTTAGCTTATGCCCTCCATAATGTGTGTGAAGAAGTCCGTGCACATTTCCCAAAAGTTGATCGTCTGATTGCCGAGATGAAAAAAACATTTCTGAAATGTCCAAAACGGATCACTATTTTAAATGAAAATTGTTCGGATATTCCAAATCCACCTAAACCAATCACTACTTGTTGGGGTACATGGATTACAGCAGTCGAATATTATTGCACATATTTAAATGAAATAAAAAGTGCAGTTGAAGAATTCAGCGAGAATGTCCAGTGTGTGAATGTTGTAAAAGAACTTATAAAATATCAATCTTTACATTCAAATCCCGTCTACATTATAACAAATTTTGGATTTATTCTACATGCAATTACACAATTAGAGAAAAGAAGTATTTTTTTATTTTTTATTTTTGTTTCAAGTATTTGCTGTATTTATATATTAATTTTTTTTAGGTGTAACCTTGACAAAAAGTATAGGTATTGTGTTAGAAGCAAAACAAAAGTTAGAGGAAGCTAATGGTGAAGTAGCGAAATTTATTTTAGAAAAGTGCAATCGTGTTTTTTCAAAGAATAATGGATGGGCAGAAATTCAAAAAGTTTATTTAATTCATAATGGCACTACACTAAACGTAAAAGTGGAACAGTATAATTCAAATGATTTAGTTTATATGAAATATGTACCTATAACATCGGTTGACGTGGAAAGGTCTTTTTCTCTGTACAAAAATATATTAGCACCCAATAGAATGAATTTTAATGAAAATAACTTGACTAAATAAAAGTTCGTAAATTCCTTTTTTAATATTTAATTGAAATTTGTTTTTTTATATATAATATTGTATTTTGTAATAAATAATAAATATAATATATTATACAAATAGTATGGATAAAATGAAAATAGTATTAATAATAATAACTTAATACTAGGTGCAAAGCCAGGATTTTACAAAAACGTAAATTTAGACGCGTCTAAGTGGATAGCCGATTTATAACGATATTATCGACAATTATATTACGCTTTATCGGGATACACTAGTTATTATCATTTATTAAACTTATCTTTATTAGTAGTTTTTTTTTTTTGTTAGACATTATTATATGATACGATATATACGTATATATATATATATACGTCTTTGATAGGTACATTTTAGTAGACGAAAAGCACTGACGTTGTTAACACGATGGAAAATATTACGCGAGTGTATAGTAAAAAGGGCAATGTTTTGTTAGTTTTAAATAATTATACTGTTTGTAAAGATCGCATTACACAAGCGAGTGTGAAATGGCGATGTACATCAAAGCTGTTTGTGAGTGAAAATGAAACGGTGATTTTAAAATCGGTTATCGAACACAAACATTCACCGCGTAAAAATTTAACAAAAGTAACCATTTTTAATAATCTAAAACGCAAAGCTGTGGATGATATTTCTAAACGCCCATTAAAATTAATACGCGAAGAAGTTCAATTAAATGTCGTATATGTAACATCAAACGATGTAAACTCCATCCGCAGAAGCATTTATCGTAGGTACGAGAAGAAAATCACTTCCACCACTACTAAAATCTATTTCTGAAGTTCATTCAGCATTGACACTATTACAATTAAATACTTACAAAGGTGAGGATTTTCTATTATATAAGAACGAGACGGAAAATATTGTATGCTTTACGATAGAATCAAATTTAAAATTTTTATGTTCCCGAGACAAAATTTTTGTAGACGGAACATTTGAATACTGTGCGAAATTTTTTTTATAACTTTTTACAATACACTGTGTCAAAAATGGACATTATATTCCATTAGTGTTTTCATTACTGCCTAATAAATCATCGAAGACGTATGAATTATTATTTAATATGTTAAAAAAAAAAATGCTCTAGCTTTGAACTTGAATTCAAGCCGTCAATTATTAGATCCGATTTCGAACAAAGTATTCATGTAGCTTCCAAAGTTGTTTGTCCATTAATTACAGTCATGGGGTGCAGATTTCATCTAACTCAGTCATGGTGAAAACGCATACAATTATTAGGATTAAAGCTGGATTATATAGATCCAAATTCAGAAATTGGAAAATGGCTTCACTTAATTTTCGGTCTCTCATTACTACCCTCTAGTGAAGTAGACGATTGTTTTGTTGAAGATCTGATGTCAATTAAGCCTTTATCAGAAAAATTAATTGAATTTTGTGACTATTTAGTTGACACATATATTTCCTCAAGTTCTACTTTTCCACTTGCACTGTGGGCTATGAATTCAATTGATTCAGAAAGGACTACAAATGCATGTGAATCATTTCATTCGTCATTTTCGAGGAACTTTAGTAGTGCACATCCAAACATTTTTATTTTTGTAAATGTTATAAAAGAAGTACAAACAAATACATACATTGCTATAAGCAGTGTAAACGAAATTCAAAATATAACTAATCGCACATATTTAAATAAAAAATCCAGAATAGAAGATTTTATAAATAAATATAAAAACAAAAATATTAGTAGATTAGATTTTGTAAAATCTGTTAGTAATTATTATAACAAAACATAATACATAATTATTATATCTATTTTTTTTTTTTTTTTTTTTGACAAATTATGCTACATAATTATTATAATATTTATTATTTTATTAACTTTTTCATATTATATGATGTATACTACGATTTATTATGAATTTTTTATTTCTATCGTTATAATTTTCATTTTATCCATACTATTTGTATAATATATTATATTTATTATTTATTAC